AATTACCGGCACTAGTCTATATTTGCATTTAGTAAAAATGGCTCTCTTGATATATTGATGGCAAAATTTCTTATGCAGCCCACACATGTGCTGTTGAAGTCCATTTTAATTACCGGTATTTTTAATTACTCAATATAAGAGTACCTACATCAAATTGATTACTTATCAACTAAAATAGGCAAAAGTAGCCAATATGCAGAAAAGCATCCTCTGAACACAGGCCTTCAGAACTGGTAAGAAGAAGGTACGAGTTATGGAGGCCTGTGTTCGAAGGATGGCAGAAAAGTGGTATCCCTGTTCTGCTAGCCTTTGAAAATGAATGCATCAGACTTCATGATGAACGAGTTACTTTATAGATGGCAGTAGTGAATTGGTAGTTATACAATATACACAAGTCTGACAAATGTCATTTAACTTATTGATTTACCAAATACACGATGCCCATGTCAAGCAGCGTGCCTACTAGGCACGCAGTTTGAAACTCTGACAAACTGCGCGCATATTTCAAAATGTGAGACGGGGAGGACACGACTCCCAAAAAGAGCCAAAATACGAAAAATACAAGGTTAGTCTCGTTCTAAAGATAGTACCATTCTGTGAAGATGAACTTAATTTACTCATAGTACTCAATGTTTTTCCCGATGTAAACCTAGTTATCTCAATATAAGGGTCTTAAGTGACTTCTGTGTTCAAAATTTACAGTGTAAAGTTATATCTATGTCTTTTTATCGTCATTTGCCGTTTATTCAGCCATTGTGGCTGTGTATTCTAGAATATATAGGATCACTCCATCTGATTAAATCAGCAAAGTTTGTGTTCAAAGCGATAATACGCCATAAACGTGATTTAAACATTTTTCTTGTCAAACTGCGCGCCTATATTCAAATGTATTTCCCAAACTGCGTGCCTAATATTTCCAAACTGCTTGCTTATCCAAGCTTGTTTTGTATTATTAGAAAACATAAGCGCCATACAAGGCACATATGTGTCTAATAGTAGAACCCCATAATTGAAACACTATGAGAGTCCATCCACCAAGATGGTGATCTGAAAATAAAAGTTTTTTTCGTTCCCAACTTAATTGTCACTTCTATTATACATTTTGACTTTCAATATGAAAATCTCATAAAATCTGACGATAAAGCAAAATTTCCAAAGCTACATGAAAAACACCTACACGTGCCTCTGTAGAAATTCCAATGATAATATGTAGTTTTAATAGTGGATGCGCATAGTTTGTAATTTCTGGCTAAAATAGGCGCGCAGTTTGTGATTTATTTCTTTTTAATCTCCTGATTATCTGTTTTATCTCGAAATATTTTGAATTATACATGATAAATGTGTAAGGAATTAAATATAAAACGAGTCTAAAGTATTTGTCATTTATGATTAAAGTGCTAGATCGATTTACGTATAAATTCCCGTTAAATCAGTGACGAAAATGCCATTAATCTGCTTATGTTTTAAAACTTAGATTCATTTGCACATAGTTTTTGCTAGTATTTGCAAGATTCGTATATTCGCCACAGAATGAACGCATTGAACAAGAAAACAATGCAGGATAAATGTCTTTAAATTACGTTTCAAAATACAGACTCCAACTTAAATGATGCAATGTACTTAGGCACGCAGTTTGTGATCGAAACAAACTGCGCGCCTAAGTAGGTGCGCAGCTTGACATGGGCACCGTGAAATATTTGGAATTGTGCGGGAAATGGAAATTCCATGAGTAAACCAGTTATCACTGTTCCACAACTATAGTTACTTTGACGGAACGTCAATGTAAAAAATGGATGAACTTTCTGGATACACGTTTTTTGTTTTCTCGATTTAAACTTATTGTATAAGTCATATTGCAGATTATCATTTGGCACAAAGTTAGACAATATAGTCTAGCTTTTAGAAATGCTCTCAGTTTGGAATTTGATTTTTAAATAAAGCTGTTATTCATGCATTTAGATCATCGCTTTTGTTACATTGATGTAAGTCGTCAAAGTAACATACATTGGTAATATGTATAACAGACTTTCGTCAATGTAACAAAAGCGAGGGGCTAAATATATGAATTGCAACTTCATTTACAAAACAAATTCCAAATTGAAACTTATTGAAACTACACTATATTTTCTAGTTTTGTGCCGAATTATAATCTGCAACTTGACTTAAAAGAAGGTTTAAATCAAGAAACCAAAAAACTTGTTACCAGGAAGTTCATCCATTTTGTTACATTGACGTTCTGTCAAGGTAACCAGTTGTGCAACAGTGATTACCTTGACCTTTTAAAGATTTATGAACAGAACATGGGGATTTAGCCCTTGCTTTTTCAGAAAATCAAAAAATTATGGGAAATTAAATACAGGTAGAGATTTTAGTAGAATATAGTTTTTATGTTTTTAATGATAAATAATGACTCATTAAAAATGCGACTTTCAAAGGATTTGAGAAATGATGAGTGTTTGCACTGTTTGATAATATTCTACCAGTTCAAACATTAATGAAATAATTCAACAAGTCAAGCTTATGGCTAAATTGGCGCTTTTATATAACTTATCAACGATGAAGAATTGTATTTCATCAGAGATTAAATCTAAGATATGCAACTAATGGTTTACAATAACTTACGTTATTCACTTTATGAAAGTTATTGTTCTCTCAGATACACAAAAATAAAAAATAAGTAATAAAATACCTGATAACCAATAAGACTTTGGTGATAATTATGATGTTATGACATATGTACGTGTATGGTGTATATATCCCTCGGGTAATGTGGTCCCTGGGAGGTATGTATATTTCCCTATGCAGGACAAACCCTAGAACCTTCCAGTCAATAACCATTATGTGCCCTTATTTTTGAAGACTCAAAATTGCAGATATTTATCCCCACATCTGTGATAAGAGACATGAAAATATCAGATGTAAAATAAATCAGATGTTCATTCATTGTTTGTTTATTGATTAACTAGTATTTAATTTTTAATTAATTTAATGGTTTTCAATTTTTTAATTATTTCACACAAAATTTTCATGTTCCTTATTGCATGAGGGTTATGTTATCAAAGCTACGGTAATGGGTAAATCTTGAGGGAAATATGGATATCTCCGGAGGGTCTAAAGGGTTTAGACTCCAGAAAAAGATATCATATTTCTTGTGGAATATACCAATATCCAAAACCAAACATCACACATCTTCACACAGCTAAGTCATCCTATGACATGGTGACTTTTGACTAAAAATAATTTTGATTATAACAAATTTTCAACTCGTTTGTGTTACGAATGATAGCCCAAAAGTTAAAGCTTTGAAATCTTCTGATTGTGATTTTAAGAGATTGACATATTTAACCAACAAGGACTTAAATTTTCTTCTATTTGATGACATATTCTGTGAATAATTTTCTGCAGAAGAACTTTTAACACAGTTTATTCTAATAAATTTGCCAGGATCTTTATCATAAAAAGGTCTGTCTAGATCCACATTGACACAATGTTATATATCTTTTTTGATTTATTCTTTAAAGGTGTTATCACAATCTACATGTTAACATGAAATATCTAACTGTATACAAGTGAAGTCTCATGAAAATAATTGGAAATATTTCATAAATCATGAAATTAAACAAGTTTTTCCATTGTGAATGCTGCTATCTAGCCTTGCCAACACACATGCTGCCATCTATTCATCCATGTATAGTATAGCAACTCATCAACTGTGTTCAGAAATGTTAATAAAATTTAAATAAATATAGAGTGAATTAACACAAATGCTTTATAAAAACAGCTCATATTTTGAATGCTCAAGAAATTAGCAGCTAATTAAGCGAGGCGAGAAATTCAAATTTGATATATAAGCGCTAATAATAAATATAAATAGCTTGACGAAAAACAAATTTGATATGAGTGTAAATTACTCAGTTAGCAGAATTCAGTTTCTTGGGTTAAATTGGTGAGAGTAAAATGAATATGTAGTAACTGGTGTACTACTTACATTGATATGCCTCGCTAAAAAAACTTGCTATACAGAAGTGATTCATTCCTAAAAGTTTGTATGGAGTAAATCAACAAGGGATTTCTGACAAGAATTACTTGGGGTTGAATATTCAGGCCCACTCATCAAAACTTTAAACTAACTCTCCCATTACCATTCATTGGGATTATCAGGCCCATAGCCAGAATTTTCCAAGGGGGGTTCACTTTTCCAAAAAATTCTAGGGGGGTTCACTTTGGCAAAGGCCAATAATCACTCAAAAATAGTCAGAATGGTGAAAAACTGCACGATTTTGAAAGAAATTTTGGCCAGGGGGGGTTCACCCGAACCCCACCTGGCTACGGGCCTGATTATTATTGGTAATCTGTACCAAAATGATTGGGTCAAGCATTAGGTGTTGTGGTGACAGATATCACCCAAAATAGTCTTAACACACTTTTAACATCTCTATATTAGATGTTCATTAAGTCATACTGAAGATCATGACACTGAAAAATTATTACAAATGTGTAACAAGTGTTACAGACATCAAATATGAATTCATCAAAAAAATCAAAAGGCATTTTTATGTATCAACTGTGTTACATGAGAACAAAAGTATTGATAAGATACTTGGGTGTATTTGGTGCCTGCTTTATTTTTGCGGATAAGCAAATTTGAAATTTTCCTCAGGGGGTTCAGTTTTTAAAAAATGGTGAAAAAACTGTGATTTTGGAAGAAGTTTTGACCCCTGAACCCCCTAGCTTCGGGCCTACACTGTTACATGTTTAAAGTCAGCAAGCCAGATACTAGGATACCACACAAAAAATGAGCCAAAAAGAAACAATATGTCACAACTTCACAAGATGACATAATAAACAAGACATAAACAAGCAAAATGTCACCACCTGCCATTTGTTACAGATGCTGAACTTCCAACATTAGACACCAACTGTCGTCACAAAAAGGTTAGAGACCATAACAATATTTCACCACTTTTGGTGGAGACATAAAAAGTTCAAGAGAAAATGATGACAGGGTGACATTAAAAAAGTTAAACAATATTTCGAACTGATTTTGTAGTACATGTGTTATTTGAAAGAATAAATGATATAAAGCTCAAGCATACGTCTCTGTTATTTTGATTATATTTATCGAACATATTTCACATTTAATATCCAATATATAATATCCAATCAATTTGACAACTGTTTAATGACAGTAACCATTCAAGTTTTGCGGCCATCATTTCACGATGCGGTCATTGCATTTATTTTTAGAATAAAGAGAAATAAGTACATGTAATTTGATATTGTATAGTTCAGAAAATATCTTTTTCTAATAACAGCATATATGTACTGGTATGAGTACATGTTCACTTCTACATTACAACACCATGTCCTGGCTTGTTCTACATTCCAGTTCTTCTACATACACAATCAAACACATTCCAAAATCCTCGTAAGAATCATTTACTGTTGAACTTTCTCTCTTCATATCCAAGATTGTATTTTCTTTTATTCGCCAATCGTCTCATTCTCCGCCAATATGTCCAAGAATCTTTATCTAATTCATCTAGAGGTGTGTTTTCACGTTCAACATTGAGCTTCCATAACCAGTCTGGATATTCACTATCTTGTTTCAGTTTAGGATCCTCTCCCTCTTTGTATATATTCAGTCCACAACAATATGTTAGAAGTTTTTCTGGATCATTCTCGTGATCTAGTTTCTTTTTGTCAACATTCCGAGCTGCACTCGCTCCTTTAGCACCCCCAGCTGAAATAACAGTGTGAACAAAGAATTAGATTATGAAATCTTGTAAAATATTATTGTGAAATTATTAGTCAATTTCATAATTTTATAAAGAATTTTGAAGTTGAAAAATAATGAAATGACATTGATCAATATCATTTTAACAGGAAGGTAGTTAACAGGAAGTGAGAAAATAGGAAGTCACAAAAACATGCTGGATTTTTGAAATTTGTTAAACTTAGGATAACTGAGTTCTCTTTTGACATTTAGTCAGTTTTATACTAGTTTCCCATATCATTTACATGACCAGGATCACAATGGGCATGGTGAGAATGACCCTAAACATGATGAAATAGCTTTTTCACCCCTCTGAGAATATGACTGAAGAAAGTTAAAAGATGTACTTTTGGAAAGGTCACTGAGCAGAATATTTTGAATTTTCCAGAAAATGTGCCCAATATGTTGCTTCATGGGCTATTTCATCATGTTTGGGGTCCTAGTCTGATAGTCATCTAAATGATATGTGGAACTAGTAAAGCTGACTGAGGTTCAAAATAAAACTGTTATCTTATCTTAGCTAAAAAATTAAAAATTGTACCTTCTTGTTTAGTTATTTCTGGTTAACCTCTTGACTACCCAGAATGACGAGATTTCTCGTCACCTCAGAAATGACCTTGAAACCCAGAGAGACGAAAAATCCGTCACAAAATTATTCAAAAAAATTGCTCTTATTTGAACAATTTTCATCCAATTTACACAAAAATTGTTTTAAAACGGGTAGAAATGATCTCTGCCATCTAATTTAACTAAGTTGAGCATCTAAAGTTGTAAAGGTATGTAGTAAAATGTCAAAAGGTGGCAAAAAATGAAAAATTCTCTGGTTTCAACCAATTTTAGAGCCTGGGATTCAAGAGGTTAACTACATTGAGACCTGGTGTAGCCAGGAATCAAGCAATTACCAAGGAAGATTATATTTTCTCCCCAGCCAATGTACCCTCAACAGGCCTGTCAACTTGGGAACACCTAACATGAGTGACTTGGAAATGTTGAACACCTCCCCTCAAAATGTGGACACCTTGGTCCAAATCTGAACACCTTGATCCAAATTTTGAACACCTTGGTTTAGATGCCAAATTTTGCCAAATTTTGAACAGCTACGCTCGCGTTTCAAACATCCATCAACGGGGGGGGGGGTAGGTACAGAAATTTTCGAAAGAAATGCGTGACATATCCGTAATTCGCGTGAAAAGTCCGAACGAAATGCGTACGTTTTTTCCCGTCGTTCGTATTTTTGCTGTGTAGACGATCTTTTTTAGAAAATAAATTTTCTCCAGAAATATTTTTGCTTGACAATTACCAGGTAAAATGCGTATTTGCGTGACATTTTCTGTCACACAAAAATAACTGGCGTGACTTCAAATTCTTCAGCAAATGCGTGACAAATACGCAAATTGCGGGACAGTTGACAGGCCTGCCTCAATGATTGAATTTTTGCTACTATAGGCAAAAAATCTCCAAATTCTCAAAGTTAATTTACCTGAGTGTTAACTCTAGATTCAGTCTGCCATTTTTGCAGAAGTTACATTAAAACACAAATTCCATGGAACAAATGAAATGACTAGAAAAAACATGGACTGGTACACATGTGCGGAAAGTTAAATGGTGGCGCGCTTGTTTTGGCATGCGCTACTAATCAAATCATGATAACATGATGTTACTCCTTAAATAATGAGATAAAATCAAGCACCTTATGAATAAATGCACACCATCCCATGACCCATATATCACTGTGATCTTTTAGATATTTAATATTGAAAATATTTGAGACAGTTTTGGTTCAGTCATTTCACATTTTAGCAACAAACAGACAAAATGAAGTATTAGATAACAGAGTTCTACTTTGATCTTCAGTCAGTTGTACTACTCCCATACATTATTTACATGGCTAGGATCACAATGGTCATGGTCAAAATGACCTTTACCATGCTGAAATAGTTTTTTTAGGATAATTGCTTTATAATACCCTGTGCTGTTATAGTTCAATATGTGTCAACATCTGTGTGAAATGATAGTAGATGTCAATTTAAGTGAATGATCTGGAAAATCGGGTTAGTCACAGCTGACAAAATAACGTCAGAAAAGGAAAATGTAATCGGTAGAAAATTATCAAAATACAGGTTGATAATGTTTTTCGAAAAAACTTATCTGTTTTACATTTTTTTCAAAATATCACTATTAAGGTGTCTGAACACAATTTTCTTCATCTTATTGCATTTATGTGCTTATAATCTATCAAATGAGGTGCTGCAATATGAATATCTTTTACATTTCCCTGCATTTTTGGCCTTGATCAAAATGTGGTAACTTTACGAGGATAATTTCCTTTTTACTTTTATATGCTTATTGAGTCAAGGCTTGCTCTATTGACTTCTTTTTCCTTCTAGACGAATTCACTTCGAGAGCCAAGATAGATTTTGAAACTTATGGCTCTCAAACGGGGAAATGGACAGCTGAATAATAGTGACCTTTTAAACATGAATTAAGTCGATCAGCTGCCTACTTTTGTTCTCTAACTATGTTATACATCAATATCATCCTTCCATGCAAGAATTGGAGCGCTGAAGTACATCCTTTTCAATCAAGACTTGTAACTGTTAGTCGAATGAATGTTTTTACTGTCAAATTCCAATATGGCGTTTTCTGCTCGGACATTTCCGTGAATCTCCGGAGGTTGTTCGAACCTAATCATTCTCAAAATTCATTTCGTTCGTTGCGTATCTCGTTCCTAGCAAACTGCTATATTGGAAATGGGTGGAAAAACATTCACTCAATGAACAATTTACAAGTCTTGATCGAAAAAGAAGTATTTTAGCGCACCAATACTTGCACGGAATGATACTGATGTAAGACACAGTTAGAGACCAAAAGTAAGCCGCTGAAATCTTTATTCATATTTTAAAGGTCACTGTTATTTAGCTATCCAAGTGCGCCGTGGGAAAGCTATTGTATCAAAATCCACATAGCTTTCGCAGGAAGTAAGGGTATACTTTTCTGCAGTTTGGGAGAGGCTGGGACAGTAAATGTTAAAATTCAAGAAAATATGCTAAACCATAAGCCAAAGGAAAAGTAATGGTAAGCTGAATATATATTCTATATACAGCTTATTATATACAGTGGGGGGCATAAAGAATTACAAAACCTATGGAAATTACATGTTGTCGCATATGTAATCAATTCTTACCTCAGTGTATTCAGTGCTTTATTTTCTCCGTCATAGTAAGTCCAGATATAGTGGAATTTGTGTCCATAATGACAAATAAGAACTTAAAAATTTGATGTGGAATTCACATGTTAATGCCGACTCTTCAAATGTTGAGGTGATTTTGGAGCCAGATTACGCCGCAATGTGGGTTGGCTCCCAGAATGCAACATGACACGTGTCAGCTTTCAAAATGCCATTCCGCCGTTTTGAAATACGTCACGAATAAATAAGGTTACTTGATGTTGCATTCTGGGAGTCAATCCTCCTTGGATCACAAACATGGCGATTCATGAAAACATTAGTCCGATTTGGTAGGGATTTATCCATCATTTGCAGGTATGAGGCTTTGGATTCATTTATTGTGCTACTTAAAGTGGATGGGAATTATTTTTCTACCACTTGGGAGAGTTTGAGACATGAAACTTAGAAATTAGCTCATTGTGACAACTTTTGAGGGTTGAGATTTATTTTTGTCCCCCACTTTATAACACAATTTGTCAAATATTATTTTTGGCTTCTAATAAGTGGGCGATAATACAGTTATTATCAAGAATTCTAAGTACCAAAAATATTGTATTTTGATTTTTCAACCTGAATTGAGACATTGATTACCTGCTACTTTTTTGGCATAACCAACACTTGCTATTCTGCTCCATGTGGTTGATATTGGAGTAAAACACCAATATTTTGTAAAAATTCGTAAGGCCATGACTCATGACAAACAACAAACTGTTAATAATGACTGCTTGATTTTAGGATTTTATATCACAATTTATAATACAAGATGTAACATTGGTGTTTCATAATATATTTTATGTATATTTTGACTATAGATGGTATTCATAAAGATTAATCTTGTTTATATTTTGTCAAGAATAAAATTGTTGTGGGTTTGTCATGAGAATCTGAACTTCTAAAATTTCTTATTTCATTTTTATCAATAAATCACGTTTCATAAGGTTACGTTGGTAGGTAGATATATATCTTTAATAATTTCGAGTTGATAAAGACATACTCAAACACCTTTGCAAAAAACATGTTGTCATGGTTATCTCTTCCATCATCATCTGAGCTCATCATGATCCATTCCAGATTCCATTCATCCCATGCAATGCATTGATGATCTTGATGAACATTTTTATTACGGATCAGACGGTTTTAACATTTTCCGTTCAGTATTTGAATCCCTGGGTTAGGTTCGGTTATTCAGTTCCTATCGCACAACAACAGGCCTGCAACTGTTCCGGAATTTCCGTATTTGTCACATACTTGCTGAAGAAATTGAAGTCACACCAGTTATTTTGGCGTGACATATTCCTAATACACATTTTTTTCTGATTGTTGTCTGGCATAAATATTTCCGGAGAAGAACATAAAAAACGAACGCTGAAACATCAAAAAACGAGTGTCAAAAAACTGAATAGAGTTTGTTCAGAATTTTCACACAGATTGCGTATACAGTATATGTCACACATTCGCTTCAAATTTTTCTGTCCCTACAGGCCTGGTACTTTATTCTGCTATGATCGTATATGTAAGAATGTAAATTAGCCTGTATGATTACCATGTCCCGGATTTAATCTCATTTTAGGCTTTGTATAAAACACCTCCTACCTCATACCCACCTACCCACCTACATGATACAGTCAGTCATGTCAGTGGAGGGTTCAATTTTAAAGATTTTTAAATCTCGAAATAGCTCTAATTATTAACATGTCTACAATTTCGGCTCTATTTTATGAATAGACGGATGAAAGTAGGATATGGGTGCATTATAATGTGCAATGACCCGAGGGTGCCCCAGGGGAGTAACTAACTAACGACCATGAGCTTAGGTCCAACAAGCCAGATAAAGAAATTGAAAGAAAATGTGCTAAATTTGATGTCCCGAGTGGGAATCGAACCCAGCTGGGCTGTAGTAGCAACTTGCTATCAAGGGTCGTTACAAATGCATCTATAATTCATCATAAACTAAGATTTAATAAACTAAGATCTTTAAAATTGAACCCTTCAAAGACTGTATCATGTCCAACATACGTGGGTAGGTGGGTATGAGGAAGGAGGTTTTTTTTATTATAAATACAGAGCCCTCATTTTATACTAAAATGTAATACTAAACACTAACAGTTAAAATGATATATGTGTCAGCTGAATCTGATTAATGGATGTTAATATTTTTCTCATCCATTGCCATCAGCATTTTTCTCACTGTAAACAGCAGACACTTTTCTCGATCTACATTATTTTAGCGAACGTGCATTTAAAGATCCAAACCGAATAAGCTGTCAAAGCAAATGACAGTCAAAGCTCCGCAGTTTCAGTTAACCGACCCCTTATTCTTACCACTCAGTATTGAGAAATGAGTGGAATTTACTGACCTTTATTATACAACAGTATTAACACAGTACTACACAGTATTTCAAATGGATTGTTATTGTTTCAGGAGCCCACTGCTTCACAGAGGGGTATACCAAAATGCTGTTTGCTGGATGTCGACTGCTGGCTTTAGGCAAACCAATACAAACTTTACAGCATTTCACTCCAGTTTTCAGAAGCCTTTCAGCCACAGTGAAATCGAAACCTAAACTATTGCTCCAAAACCTGAGACAATTCGCCACCAAGAACAAACTTCCGTTTGAAGTTGACTCAAATGTATCAAGAGATGTGTTATTATTCACATTCAGAAATGACAAACATTTCAAAATGATGACAGTATTTGGAGTTGTGAACTTTGTAGTGTGGACATATATTGGTATTTTTGCGTTTAGAATGTTGAAGGATGCCCCTGTGACTCCCCCGAAGAAAGGAGAATCGCTGCCATGGTACCAACGAATCAACCTTGGCAGTAACACTTATAGAAATGGCATTACTTTGATCTGTTTTGCTATGGGTAGGTACATACTTTGTAGCAGGCCTATAGGGGACTCTATAGCCTTTAATCAATTGATCAGGAACAGGAACAATACAGAAACATCTTTCAGGGTGAACTACTCCCTAAAATGAACACTTAATAGTGAATTCCTAATTTGAATTCACCTCTTAAATTAACTCATAATACCCTTGAGTAAACACTTTACACCTAACTTATGCATTCAGCTGTCTCAAATGAAAACTTAAATTATGAGCACTGCCATGAGTGAATATCACTAGAAGAGAATAGGTAAATTTTTAGAATGTGATCATCTTGATGAAATGAAAACCTCTCTAATGATATTATCTTTCTTTAGTGAACACCTGTTTCAAATGAACACCACCTTAAAGTTAGCACCTCTCTAATACTAGTATTAACTCCATTTATAATTATGTCACCACCAAAAAGTGGTGACATAATGTTAAGGTGTCTTTTTTGAGATGATGGTTGTAACAAATGGTGGTGATATTTTGCATGTTGATGCCTTATTAATCATTACTTCAATGCTAGTTACAATATTATGCAAAATGGTTTGTTTTGAAATTGATAATTCTGAAAAGGTTGCGCTTTATAATATGCAAACAATCATTCTAAATGTACAATGTATATATTATTTTATTTTCTTGCAGGCTACCTTATTCTCACATATACCATGTTAGTCCCAATGAGAACTGTACAGACACTAGCTCTCCTTAAGGGAGGTAAAAAAGTGGGTCTACGAACCTATGGACCATTTGCGAAGACATTCTCATTTGTTATACCAATAGAGCACATAAGTGCCATGCAAGCAAGAACAAGTGCTGGAAGGATTGTTTCTTTGAAAGTTAAAAATCGATGGTTTTTCTTTATGATGGACAAGAAAGGACAGTTTCACAATACACAACTGTTTGATTATGTAGTTGGGTTACGGCGGTTTTGAGGCACATCTGATACAGTGACTATAGATAATTATTTTCTTGTCAACCTGACAGGATTTCGCCACTTGGTAAATTATTGCAAATGTTAACAAAGTGTAATTCAAAAGTGTAATCCAATTGCTAATCTATATTTCCAGATACAGGTCTATCATACTGTTAGTGTAATAGAAGATGTGACTTACAAATAAATAAATAGAACTCAAATGAATACTTGTTCCTTGTAGTCTGCGTATTATACTTTTATCAAGCAGAGGGCACTGATCAACAATAATACATCAGAATTAGTCAAAGTGACATTGGTGTCTAGTTTCAAATGTAAGAATACTTCTGACAATGCTCGTTTCCTATTGCTCTGATGGATGTTATCTTTTTCAGCTCCAAGGTCTAGTTTTTGTATGTTGATTACACTGCCATCTATCAGTCAAATAAGTCTTCAGCCTCTGGGATACATGAACAAACCATTTGCTTGTGTGTAAAGCATTTCAGAAGAATCGGAGCAAGAGGTTCATTGAAGTTCATGAAAAACATTTATTTTAGACAAAAATCTGTTATCCTAGGGGCCCAACAGTGAAATATATTTGATTCAATTCTCTGATAACATTATAGCAACAGAACAGATTTATATTTTTTATTCATTCCATTTTATCCTCAAATTTACATATAACCATCATATAATATACATGTAAGTGTATTAGGGATTGACAATATACAGTAAGTCGCATAAGCCTGATTTTAATTTTGGATATTGTTGTTAAATTACATTACCATTCAAAATGACCATGCAATGACTTGGGTACACTCCAAGCATTCATATAATATGCAGTGATCTCCTCAAAGGGTTAAATCAAGTGGGTGGAGGTCTCACCCACCTGAGAATCCATGTATACCCACTTCAAAATGAGAAAAAATCTTTGGGTCTGAATTGTGAAAATGAGAATTTTTTCACCCACTTGATGAGAAAAAATCCCCAGGAGATCACTGATATGGTACTCTATAGAAGTTATTTATAAAATCTTTCATATCAAAGGAGTTGGGTAAACTAGCAACAGAGAGTGCCCCAATTGAAGTGTGAAAAAACTTTTTTTAAGAATAGGAGAAAAAAACATCAGAAATGCATAGATTGAAGTCTATATTTTTGGGTAGTATTTTAAAAAAAATTTAGAAAAAATTGTTACGGTGTCTGGAGACCTTCAAAGAGGGTGGGGGCCAGAAGGAAAAAAATTCACATATTTTGTAACCCTCTTGATGAATTCCAATTTACTCAGCTATGAATGAATACTGACTATTGCAACTAATAATAGAAGTGATATTGAGGTAATATAAGCTTGATTTGGGAGGAGATTGTTGTGATATTAGGTTGATATCAGAACTTATATTTTTTGATATTGCTTATGTAATGGCAATATGTTGGTAATTGGGCAGATATAAAGTTAATATTGGATTGATCTATCGAATTGGGCTTATATTTGGGTGATATTGCTATAATATTGGGCTAATATTTGGGTGATATTGGATTGATATTGGGGTGATATTGCTATCATATTGGGCCAATATTTGCTTGATATTTGAGTGATATTGCTATCACATTGGGCCAATATTTGTGTGATATTGGATTGATATTGGGGTGATATCGCTATCATATTGGGTCCATTATTTGGCTCATATTTGGCTGATATTGGATTTACAGTGGGATATTATTACAATCAGAATAATTGGGTGATATTTGGTAAATAAGAGGGTTGATATTGGACTGTTACTTAAATAATATGAGGCCAATACTTGGGTTATTTTGGATTGATATAGAGTGACATTTGATTGACAATTGTTGCGTGGGAAGGGCGGAATATATTAATATAAATATCTCATTATTGGCAAATTGCCAATTTACTATATATTGTAATTCAAACCTCTATGAGACTAAATTCCTGCAGATATTTGTGATATTTTAACCAAAAAGGTATATTTTGGTAGAAAATAATGAATTTTTTTAATTTGACCTTGACCTGGGGAATATGACCTTGACCTAAATGTTCATACATTTTTGAAACACATATATCACATAGATTAATAAAATAAAGAGAAAACTTGAAAATCAGGTGGGGCTTAAAATGGCCTTGTTTACCCAACTCCTTTGAACTCTTTCCAGGGCAGTATACATGTAATCAATAAAAATTAGTCAGGCCCGTAGCCAGGATTTACTGGGGGGGGCAGTTTTACCAAGGGGGAAGCTTTTGCCAAGGGGGAGCTTTTTGACAGTTTTGGCCAAAAATCAGACGAAAAGTCCAAATGGTGAAAAACTGCATGATTTGAAAGAATTTCTGGCCAGGGAGGGGTCATTTTGTTAAGGGGATCATTCTAGCTCCACCACCACTCCCCTTGCTACAGGCCTGATGGTGTGGTGTATTTTTCAACATTTTACTATGTACCAGTTTATGATTTTATATGTCAAGAAAAAAGCCTAAGGGTATTACATTATTCATTTTTAACTGGAATTCTTTATTTATTAATGACCCTACACACATATATTCATATAATCTGTATATATTATAATTATAAATTCATTATTGCTATCTACAAACTGCACATCTAAATGACTTGTATCTAGTCTTCTTCAAGACAAAATAAATAACATATACATGTATGTATCTAAATTGAACAATAAAGATTTTATGTTAGATCAAAAGTGAAAATATTAATGCCCATTAACTCCACTTCTCATGTTTAGTTCACAGGCATTTATTTTAAAGGGAGGCAACTTTTAATTTCAGAAAAAATACTTAGTATTATTATTAGTAAAATATTAAGTTACAATTTTGGGGATTAGGCTGATCTGAAATGAAATTATTTACATTTTGGGTAAACATTGAAATATGATACGGTCCCCTTGTTGTCTTGCACTTAGACTCTTTTCCCTCTATACTATTGATTTCCCTGACCTTCTGTTCTAGAGATGAGGGGTTACCACGGGCTGAGCTGACTATTATGCAGGTGAGGCCACTAGGTTACCTCACTGAAATTGTACTGAAAAATATTTTTGATGTTTTTTAAGTCGAAGCTATGAAAAATTATATCACATACTGTAATTGTATAATAATACAATCCTCTTTGACCAAAGTTTTGCCTCGCCTTTTAAAATTTGCCTTTAGTAACACAGGGGTTTGTAACAAATATTAAAATACAATACAGCACATAACTAATAGAGAGGTTTCAATTAAGATCTTTGAGAACAAAACTCATGACTTGTATGTGTAGTAGAGTTCAGGGGCTCAATAATGAAATCAAGACAAACACAAAAATGAGATGAATTGAAAAATGAGAATATGGATTGTATGAATTTGTTTCGCTATCACTCTACTTAACTCGTCGCAATTTAATTTGGCGTATTTAGCAAAGTTGAAAAATTGGCAAATTTAGCCAGAATTAAAACAATAAACCAACGATGACATGATGCATTTCTGACAATAAATGAATTAAATGATTCATTCTTGAATGTCCAACAAAAGCAATGCCAGTCTTTCTGTTCAACATGTTTTGTGATAACAAAGGCAAGTATTTTTTTCTGAAGAATTGGCGAATTTTTGCAAATCGCCAAATTAAAACAGCCACCGAATTAAGTAGCCCTGCCAAAGTCAGTATCTTTATATTTTTTTTAAAGATTTTTTACGGCAGTACATAATTGAGAATCAAGATAAATAAAAAATAATTCCCACTTGGGCAAGGCTACATTATACAATATTAATCTTATATTAAGTTCGTTGTTAAGCCTCCAGGCCAACTGTACGCTAATGCAAATATAAGTTGTGATTTTCATTCTCCAAAGAACTTAAAAAATTCTCGTTATACAAGCATAGAAAATTATAATAATATATTCTAATAAATTCCATAATCTGTAAACAGTTTTCACGTACATCACATATACCATTTTTGTGATGAATGAACTTAACATCATCACTGGGAGCTAACATTTGATTCACATCTTTCTATAGTAAACTTTGCCTTCAAGTTGCAATACTACAGGCTATTTTAAGTCATATCCTCATTATTTCATATATTTGTTATTTGTTAATTAACAATGTTACATGATCTGAAGTACATTCTATGTTTTTTGGTAAATCTATGCTGATATTGACTGATAAATTTCCCCAGTGGATAAATATGATATGCCTCAAAACTAGAATATTCTCTCAGTGTAAACATCATATCTAATAGCTCTTCTGTCTATTCACAATACGCCATCCTGTTTATAACATGCGTTACAAACTCTAACAGGATAGTCCCAGCCCCGAGATGGAACTTCCCTGAGTTCTGGAGAGCAGTCGCTACAGACACCGTCCCCGCAAGCTCGACAATGGTGTTTAGTCAGTTTGGGCGTGAACTTGGTTTTACACACACAACAATTGGTGATGTCATTATCAGCCACCCAATACGCTGGCTTAGCTGAATCCTTTAGATATTCTGAAAGCATAAAAGGATACATACATATGTACAGTAAATCCATCTGTATGTGAACACTCGAAATGATAGGATATACCAGGATATATTTTACTTTTTTATTTTCAGAATAATCTTGTAATTTCAAACAAAAGATAACATTGAGCTGAGGGTACTTTCTTTGAAATGATTTTCATAACTGAATAATATTTTTTGACTGAGGTGACAACATCCCTTGTCATTCCCATTTTTATATAAAGGTCATCACTATGCAAGAAAATACTTATAAGTCCAGTCAAATCTCACAAACATAGTGTGTTTCTCCATAAATTCCCATTTCTAATACAATTTGTATTCATAAATGAGTTTCAATACCTAGAGGGTATTCCACAACCCCAGCAACAGCTCCTATTGCACCACCCACCACTTCACCATATATTCTTGCACGCAGGTCACGCTCAGCCTGTTCACTAGGTTGTGCTAGGTGTTCTGCAGCTGTAATGAATTTTAAGGTTGTCTTTATTCTATTACAGTATATCATATCATTAAAATAAACAATACAACAGTTCTCATAAACTTTATTCATATCAGCCAAAAAGAACTCAAGAACCAACCCAATCTTGGAAAACTATTATTCCATTTCCATCTACACAATCAGAATCTGAAGTAGTCTAAGGGAACACATCTAAAAGTGAACACTTGCCACTGAAAGAATCCAATAAATATAAGCCATAGAGTACGTAAGTGACAGAGTACCAACCTAGATCCTGCCTTTTTCGAAAGCATTCATCACAAACTCGCACTGGTCCGGGTCCCCAGCCTCGTTCTGGAACAGGGGTTTTCTTCATTGAGCAGTCATCACAGAACCCTTCTCCACAGGCTCGACAATGGTGTTTGGATTCATCTGTGGTGAAGTCCTTATCACACTTTTTGCAGACCTAATAAAAGATGCATTATATTGCTTGTTTTCTACCAATCAACTTGCCTACTCAAAAGCAATATCATAAATAAATTACACTTAGCTAGTGTTTTGAAAGCACTTTTATCAGTACCCCAGTCCATGATACTATTAAGGTCAGTCTGTAGCATTTCACACTTTTTAAGGTCAGTATAGCATTTCACACTAATTTCCCAGAAGAAGAGTGGAAACCTGTATGTTTAACATGGCACTTACCTTCAACTCAGAATTGGGGACCCAGTAGGGTGGAGCTATCTGGTCTGTTACCCAGTTTGTCAACATCTTAGTGGGCTTTGCACTGACCTCCTTCACTGTGCTAGAGATGTAATGTACTCCGTCTAGCAGTCTCCTTGCAGCATTGTGTGTGCCTTGTAGCACTGGGTTGCTCTACAATGTAATATGAGTAAATAATGTACTCCATCTAGCAGTCTCCTTGCAGCATTGGGTGTGCCTTGTAGCACTGGGTTGCTCTACAATGTAATATGAGTAAACAATGTACTCCATCTAGCAGTCTTCTTGCAGCATTGTATGTGCCTTGTAGCACTGGGTTGCTCTACAATGTAATATGAGTTTTTATAACATACCTATGATGATGTATAGTGCAAAGTGTACACAAGACAGCGGGCCAATATAAGTTTTGAAAAGCCCTCGTCCGCTAACTTTCTGATTGGTCAAGGCGCTGACGTCATAACCAATCAATCGAAGATAAAACTGCGCGAGCAATTTTTCTAAACTCATTTCAATCATTTTCAAACCATTTGTTTGTCAATTCTATAAGAAAACGGTACTCTCTGACCAGTCTACAGCATCATAGGTATGTTATAAATTGTTTATGTCACTATCGTGGCACATATGCCCTCGGTTCTCAGAGATCAATGTCCCTCCCAAGGTCGGGCCATATATCACTGAGACCTCGGGCATATATGCCACGATAGTGACATAACCTCTAAATGTTGCACTGTTGTCACACCATTTTAAAATCAAAATTCCAAGACATTTCACCTTCTTTATAAATAGACAATTCATTTCATTTCACCGACCTTTCACTGATTCAAGCATGAAATTCAGATATTAGATACATGTACATCCTATACATATATATCCTGTCAATCACTCACCCCAGGCCAAACATGGGCTATCTCAGTCCTGACACATGTGTCTATGGGGTCTTTATTACCATACCAATACTGTCTACTCTTGTATATGATGCCACAATATTTGCATTCTAGGACATACCTGAAAGATAAAGTCACATAATTTAAGTTTTGATACTTAGGCATAGCATTATATTTGTTCCAATCAATAATATTACTCTTCTCTATGTGATACTAATTTAAATTTGGAACCAGCAACCATATACTTCATAACATACAACAGTAACATACTACAGTAACATTCTATCTTGATTTTATCAGTTATACAGTGCACATGTATTTCATTAAGAGGGTGGCATCTAGCTGAGAGATTTCTCCTTTAGGAGAAAGTGGGATACAGCTGATGTGGCGACTTAGATGTCGCACCAAATAGCTTCACCTGAACCAATCAGCCAACATATTCGACAAACAAGATAAAAATGGCATAATATACTGGATTAATTAATATAATGGCTGTCTTTACCTTCAAGTTATTGAATTCAACGATATCCTTCATAAATATTATGTACCTTATACCATATCTCATTTAGGTATCTAGAATACATACCCCGACCATGCATACTTGGCAAGACCAAACCATTGGTTGTCAGTTGAGGCTGCAGTCTTTGGTACGACAATCACCTCTTTGCCATTATTGTGGCATGCTCTACATGAAAAGACCTGGTTGTCATACTGGTGTTGGTATATGCACTTAGAATCACAGTTGTGTGGCACTTTCTCCACTAGGTGGTTCATACTGTTATTGCATCGCATACTGAAAAAGTAAATATGCACTTAGAATCACAGTTGTGTGGCACTTTCTCCACTAGTGGTTCATACTGTTATTGCATCGCATACTGAAAAGGCAAATATGCACTTAGAATCACAGTTGTGTGGCACTTTCTCCACTAGATGATTCATACTATTATTGCATCGCATACTGAAAAAGCAATTATGCACTTAGAATCACAGTTGTGTGGCACTTTCTCCACTAGGTGGTTCATACTGTTATTGCATCGCATACTGAAAAATACATTTTCAGAGTAGAGTGAAAAAACAATTGCTCTGACTGTTGAAATCTGGTCATTGTTTTGGTCTTAAATCCTTGAAAATATCCCTCACCTAAAGGTCTACCCGAGATATATTAATTTTGTTCAAAAATGGCAAAAAATATGGCACCATTTAAATGAATGCAAACAGGTATTTAGAGATCCCCTAATAGGTCTGAGTTGTATGTTTCTCTGGTATGTTTAGAAATTTGGATATAGACATTAAAATGAAATACAACTTTTGATCATAAGGTATAAACTCATTGAGAATAGAAAAATGTTGTTAACAGCATTCTGATAGCACACATTATTCAATACTATTAAATTGCAATATGACTCCTGATTCAGAAGAAAACAGATGACATAAGAAAACAGATGACATAAGAAAACAGATGACATAAGAAAATTAACAGAATGACATCCTGATTATGATGGATTAAACCCGAACAATGAAAATACTTGCTTTCATCAAATAATTGTAATTAGTAATTGTATAGTTAAGAAGCATTAAAATGACAATTGCATTAAGTTTTCATGCTAAGCAGTGCTTTAATTAATAACAGTTATTCTACTATAATTATTGAGGTATATATATTTGATATTGTAAGGGTACATTAGCTGGAATATCATAAACATCTTACAATTTTGCAATACGGCCAATATCTCTGTTTACAAAGTTGAGATACTAGATAGTAATGTGAAGGTCGATAATTACCTGCAAGACAGACATCTGGAGGAGCATGTGAAATACTGGTCAGGAAACATACAAGGGACAGATTTCTCTATGTCACCCTTAAACTTCTCATTCAGCACCTGTAGTAAAAAATAAAGTAATGTAATCATCTTCTGAACTATTTGTTCACAAACCTTAAAATTTGAAATTGATATCATATGATACTGACACACATTAGAGATAAAAATGTGCTGGAAATTCTGCCTTACTCATGAAATAAGGAAAAAAGAAAAATCGTAACATGGATCTTCTGCCATTTTGTTGATGAAACAGATCCGTTTAGGCAACTAGTTTGAAGAGTGCAGTACCATCATAGTTGAAGCCCTATTTTAAGAAAGCACTACTCTTTCCATTGCATACTTCATGCATTGGAACGGGTAATATATACAAGAACTTGATGCAAGACTAGTTTTACACCTGTTCAGTGCATCAATAATGTAAAATCAGACAAGACATTAACATGCAAAATTTCACCACACCTGTCATTTGTTACATATGCCAACCACCAAACACTGAACACCAACTGCCAAATGCTGAACAGAAGCCGCTGAACAATGTCAAAAAAAAGTTGGAGACTATAACAATTTGAAACAAGGCATTAACATGACAAAATGTCACCACCTAGTTGCTCACAATATTATGAGTTCAAACTTAAGTCAGATTTGAATTTCTGAGAACTTGTAAAGTCAAATTTGAACTTAAGATGTAGATGATTTTGAAAAAAAAATTTGGTCAATTTGAAGCAAGTTGAAAACAGACCTTTTTGACCTTTTTTGACCTTGAGAAGGTCATTAAAGGTCAAATGTCAAATCTAAAGTCAGATTTGAATTTCTGAGAACATGTAGATGATTTTGAAAAAAAACTAGTCAATTTGAAGCAAGTTGAAAAAAGACCTTTTTGACCTTTTTTGACCTTGAGAAGGTCATTGAAGGTCAAATGTCGAATCTAAAGTCAAATCTAAAGTCATATTTGAATTTCTGAGAACATGTAGATGATTTTGAAAAAAATTTAGTCAATTTGAAGCAAGATGAAAAAATACCTTTTTGACCTTTTTTGACATTGAGAAGGTCATTGAAGGTCAAATGTCAAATCTAAAGTCAGATTTGAATTTCTGAGAACATGTAGATGATTTTGAAAAAAAAATTTAGTCAATTTGAAGCAAGTTGCAAAAAGACCTTTTTGACCTTTTTTGACTTTGAGAAGGTCATTGAAGGTCAAATGTCAAATCTTAAGTCAAATCTAAAGTCAGATTTGAATTTCTGAGAACACGTAGATGATTTTGAAAATTTGTTTTAGTCAATTTGAAGCAAGTTGAAAACAGACCTTTTTGACCTTTTTTGACCTTGAGAAGGTCATTAAAGGTCAAATGTCAAATCTAAAGTCAGATTTGAATTTCTGAGAACATGTAGATGATTTTGAAAAAAAAAATTAGTCAATTTGAAGCAAGTTGAAAAAAGACATTTTTGACCTTTTTTGACCTTGAGAAGGTCATTGAAGGTCAAATGTCAAATCTAAAGTCAGCTTTGAATTTCTGAGAACATGTATATGATTTTGAAAAAAAAATTTAGTCAATTTGAAGCAAGTTGAAAAAAGACCTTTTTGACCTTTTTTGACATTGAGAAGGTCAAATGTCAAATCTTAAGTCAAATCTAAAGTCAGATTTGAATTTCTGAGAACACGTAGATGATTTTGAAAAAAAAATTTAGTCAATTTGAAGCAAGTTGAAAACAGACCTTTTTGACCTTTTTTGACCTTGAGAAGGTCATGGAAGGTCAAATGTCAAATCTAAAGTCAGATTTGAAGGTCAAATGTCAAATCTAAAGTCAGATTTCAATTTCTGAGAACATGTAGATGCTTTTGAAAAAAAATTTAGTCAATGTGAAGCAAGTTGAAAAAAGACCTTTTTGACCTTGAGAAGGTCATTGAAGGTCAAATGTCAAATCTAAAGTCAGATTTGAACTTCTGAGGACATGTAGATGATTAAGAAAAAAATTGAAGTCAGTCTAAACAGTATTTGTTAAGTTATAGGAAGTTGTAAGAAATTGTTACAGACGCCAACCGCCGGACGCCAACCGCCGGACGCCAACCGCCGGACGCCAACCGCCGTCACAAAAAAACGGAGACCATAACAATATGTCACCACTTTTGGTGGTGACATAACAAGGCATTAACATGACAAAATGTCACCACCTAGTTGCTCACAATATTATGAGTTCAACCTTAAAGTGTCTCACATATTCGATCAAAATTTGCCATGCAAACATGTTAGTCTACTTTACTGGCCCCCCTTGCTGTAACAAGGAACCCAAAACACATTAAAACGTAAACATAAACCAATTAGTCACTTCACTATGAAGGTGAGGGGTGTACGCTGTGTGCATGGACTAACACAATATCAGTGGTCATTTACTGTGTCAACTTAGTAACCCTTGCATATCGTGCTCACTCAAGTATTGAATAATTTTTTCATGATCTAAATGTTTGTGGTTTATAAAAAAATGTGATATGTTTTAGTTAGAAATACATTAATTAATATATTTAGAGGTTATGTCACTATGACGTGAAATATGCCTGAGTTCTCCCAATATAGGCCGACCTTGGGAGGCTCTATATTTGGGCAAGAACGAAGGCATATTTCACGTCATAGTGACATAACTGATGTATTACATGCCTTTGTTCCCATGGTTACTTTGTATCAATGACGTGACGTCATGATATTATCATGGTAATTAAAGAAATCTAATATCAAAACGAGGTAAGCGGGCTATATCGGGGTAATCGGGCAATATCGGTGGATATAGCTCGCTAACTTTCCCATTGACTTCCATACAAATGCTTCGCTAGGCATGTAATACTCATTCAAACAGCACTAGAATGCGGGAAGAAAGAGCAATGGTGACAAAATGCAGACAGAATTTTCCCTAAGGGTTTCAAACATTTCTAAACCCAATCATACATGTACTTCATGTGTACTGTTATTTTTAGTGCTATATTTATAGATATAATTTCACGTATTAAAATCATATTTTCCAGGGGTCTAAACAGTATTTGTTAAGTTATTGGAAGTTGAAAGATGAAGCAAGATGAAAATGATCTTTTGGACCTTGAGAATGTCATTGAAGGTCAAATATTTTTTGACTTTGAGAATTCATTGAAGGTCAAATCTATAGTCAGATTTGAACTGTTGAGAACTTGTCCATGATTTTGAAAAAAAAATGGTCAAGTTGGAGCAAGTTGAAAAATTACCTTTTTGACATTTTTTGACTTTGAGAAGGTCATTGAAGGTCAATTTTCAAATCTAAAGTCAGATTTGAACTTTTGATAACTTGTAGATGATTTTGAAAAAAATTGATCAATTTGAAGCAAGTTGAAAAAATACCTTTTTGACCTATTTTATCTTGGAAAGGTCATTGAAGGTCAAATCTTATATATACCGTCAGATTTGAACTTCTGAAAACATGTAGATGATTTTGAAAAATTGAAGTCAGTCTAAACAGTATTTGTTAAGTTATTGGAAGTTGTAAGAATTTGTTATAGACGCCAACCGCCGACCACCAACCACCAACCGTTGTCAAATAAAAAAGGGAGGCCACAACAATATGTCACCATTTTTTGGTGGTGACATAATAACTGAAGACTCACCGTCAAAGCTTTAAATATTACTGCAGGTGATCTCGGGGAACGAACACTGTTATTGTGCAATAGACTCTTTACAGTCTTCAACAAGCCTTCAAACTTTGTTGGAGGTTTCACTGTCCTTGTACCAACATAAGTAATACCACTGAATGCATCAATGGACATTTCTAACTTGTGGAAACGATCTTTCAGTAAATCTTCAGGAGTTCTTCCTGACTTTCTTTTTCCATTTCCAGATTCTTCTAAAATATAGATATATGAACTGTTATCCTTAAATTTAACTCAAAGATCAATAGTAAAATATTGAAATTGGATCACAAACGGATGGGGACAATAAGGATTACATGGAACAGTGTTTCTATTACAAGACATTGTTTCTTTTTCGCAAGCATGCAGAAATGTTTAGTAAAACATTGTGAAAAACCATCCTAAGCCGATGAAGTACCATTATTACCAAATACTCAATCAGTTTAATAAAATATGTATGTGTCAACTCAAGCAATAGTTTGATTCTCAATTGATAAACACAACTTACTCTTCAGTACATCAGTATGTTGAGTTTCATGAAAAACTACAACAGCTGGCCCAAGTGTTGACAGAGTTCCTTCAAATTTTCCCCGATCTGACAGAGCTTTAAGTTCCTTCTTAAAATGTTTCATATATGCAGACGAGGCATCTCCTAAGAACTGAAACATGTCATTGTGGAGTCGATCTGCTCTCGTCCGGTAAATCACTATATCACTAACTGCAAGGATTTTCAATAGAAGCCTCGTTCGTTGATTTTGATTTTTTGTAGTTCCTAATAGACCTTCAGTATCCATAATAATGGTACCTAATTTTGGGTCTAAGGCTGCCCAGACACCAGCAGTGCAGGAGGATGGGTCATTAGATGTAAGGAACACTTCCATACCTAAATCAAATTACATGAAAAATACATTGTATTCCCAGCTACTATTTTTTGCGCTTTTCATAAGTTTTTAAAAATCGTGAAATAATTCCCAGGAATTCATTTCACTCAGTGTTGACATTATTTTTGTCTAGTGCTGGTTGATAAAAGGGGTTTATTTAAATTTAAATTCATTCTATAACACTCCAATCAAAATTATGAACCTTTTAACAACCTGGCTTCAAATCAAAACAAAAGCTTGGGTGAGGAAAGATAAGTATGGCTGATATTGATATTGTTCCAGTAATAATGCAAATATTCCTTACCACTAAAAAATGTATGGTTGAGTGTGTGTGACTTGCCATCACCAGTATTGCCAAATATAGAAAGCACTTTCACGGTTGCATCAGTTTTACATCCGAGAGCTTTTGTGAATTCCTGCTCATTTTTCACCTAAAAATCGTGAGACATGTAAAACTGGCAATTTGCTAAATATTTTATTTTTTGGAGCAAAAAGGTTTGAAGATATGTCAAAAAATATATTTAGGCTATTTACATTTGTGATTTCAAATGCATTTTGCAATTGTATACACATTATTGTACATATATTCAAATGGCAAAAGTGTGTGACCTCATGATCAAACATCCAAACATTACGAGTATCATCAGCCATGCAATTTGGCTCAACTCCAATAAGTGTCATTTGAGGAGACTAATTGCACTATACTTACCTTACAGCAATTATCATTACCATTTTATAGGTACTCTTTGCTAAACTGCATAAACATCTAACTAATTATTTGATGCAAGTATTTGTAACATATACTGTACATGTAGTGTTTAATTATAACAGTAACATACACAACATGTCTACTGTATACACACAAAAACAACTGATAATATCATGGGCTTTCAGTTAGAAAGCCCATGATAATATCAATGAATTGCAATTAATTGATCAATGACTACAATACCTGGATTTTTTCAAATTCATTGATGAGGGGAAAACTTGTGCTGTCCTTGTAAACACCATCATTTTCATGACTATCCAATGGTATGCTGTTTCCAAGACCGAGTGTGGCAACATCAGGAATACTTCTGAGACTACCATCTGATTGATCACTTCTTGTAGATGTGGTCATGAAATGATTCTCCTGTGGACTCATGAAATGACCATCTTTTGGGCTTGGCAGTTGGTCGTGCCTGTGGGATGAATCGTCCTTCGATGTTGAAATATTTTTTGGCGATGTTGACAAATTTCCAGCCATCGTAACATAGTCTCCTGAGTTATCATTATCAAACTCAACAAGTGGCTCACTTAAAGGCGGCAATGATGGTAGCTTGAAAGTTTCTTCTAAAGTTTCCATGCTAGGGTTAAATGGCACTCGTGTGTGCGATTTTTTCTTTCCATGTGAATGGATTTTAGTGAAGCAGTCAAAACAGAAATTCAGATTGCATTTCTCACATGTTACATCTGCAAAATTTTTGTCAGAACATGTGTTTTGGCACAGCAAAGAAACCTCTGGAGTTGTTAATTTCTTTCTATCATGAAATAAAAATTTCTTCAATCCATGGAGTTGAATTTCACAATTTTTACATTGATATGTGCCACATTCATCACACTCATATTCTGCTTCAACGAATTCTTGGGTACACGAGAACTTTTCCTGACAATGCTTTTTTGACGAACGCACCTTTTCCAGTCTACGATTTCTAGACATTTCATCAACAAAGTGTTAAAAAGGAGGAACAAACATCGGAAATTTTGATGAATCACTGATTTGTTTTGACTTTGTTCCTACTTCCGGTTAAATTTTTGTTCGAAGTGAAGGATTCATTTTTACACAAAATAGGTAGATCCAATAAATGAATATTTTTAGATATTTTTGTAATAGTTTATTATTATAGTTTGATGGAGAGTTCTACTTTGTGTAATATTATGCTTATAATTACATTTTTTTATTTTCTCTTCTTTTTCTTTGACCAATCAACGCTCTACAAATATTCATAGCGAAAAAAAGAGAAATCTCAAAAGTAAAAAGCTCAAAGTTTCTCTCGTTTTCGCTAGTTTTCCATTGATTTAAAGCAGTAAAGATGCCAGCAGTTAAAAGAAAAAGTACAAGACTGCTTGTAGATAGCGATAGTGAAGACAGTGACAGCCCATCTGACCTCGAAGAGGTGAGATTTTCTCATCTCTTTTTACGCATTTTTCAAACTCTGAAATTTTCTGTCTCCATTTTTATTTTTCATTTCGCAGAAATTCATTTCCGAATTCCTCAAATTTGTGTGTGATCTTCAACCCTTCACATTGTCCAATTCCCTCCTTGTATGAATGGTTGTGTGACTGTCAGGCCCTAAGGTCTAGCATTTAAAAAATATTTGTGTTCTTACCTACTGTATTTGCCTTTGTTTCATTTTGAATGAAATCTTGGAACAGTAGGGGAAATGCACAGATGTTGGCCAGATCGTTTTGCAGGAGGATCTCATAGGCTCAAATAATAATTCAGAAGATATGACACCAAATTGGAAAATTTCAAGAAAGTGACCACCTTTCAAAATGTTCCTTATACAAAATGGTACCTGCTTCCCCGTGACAGATTTTGCACCTAATTTATAGCTGAGATCTTCATCTTTCTATTTCTACTTGATTGGTTCAAGTAAATAACCTATGGACACAGTAATTTGACTTTTAATATGGCAAATAGTTTTCACTTGATCCAGGCTCTTGTGTGTCCAAATATAATTGTAATTCTGATGTCACATTTTTGGAATCACAGGAGCACCATTCAGATTAGGACAGACAACAGTCCGCCAATAAAATATCACTATTTTGGCCTCTTATCAAACGCAGTATTGCTTGAACTCTTGAATAACATTCATTGTTGATAAAAAAAGCTTCAAATGAGCTATGATTTGTCTCATTTTTCAGAAATGACTGCACAATCATCATTTTGATTCGAAATTTCTTTGGTGTCTCATATTGAAGAATATTTATTCAGCTACTGATCCTACTACAAAAGAATCTGGCTGGGATCTAATGGTCCTAATTTTCGCACAGTTTGAATCATCGCACGAAAACATATCACTAGGCCTACTCACAATCCTAGTGATTTATGCACATATTTACAAATATCGCTTCATTTTTAAAAATTCTTTACTTCAGCCATTAATGTGCATGTGCATTTAGTCTACAGAGGTGAAATATATCTGACAAATTTGACTCCCTCCAAATAAAGACAGAAAAGTAAAGAAATTATGTTAATTTTACAGATGTTTTACACTAAAACTGCTAGAAAAATGATTAACATATCCATGTATCTATTTTAAACGGTAAAATGTACGGAATACCATAAAATTACAGTCCAAACACATTGTGCAATAATTAAGATGACTTGTGCAATAATTAGGATGACCACACATGCGAGTCCAAGAGGTTTCAAAAACTGTTTTCAGCATTCAGAGATTGAGAAATGTCAAACACGACTTAAATTTTTGAAGCAAAGTTTATCTTTCGTGTCATAACCTCAAAGTAAGTTGAAGTTATCATATTTGAACTTGTCAGTAGTTTTCCTGAGTACCTGTGCGATGATAGGACCATTTCCCCTAAAAAATGAATAAACAATCAAAGAATACTATATGGACAGTTAAAGGGAGGCTGATATTCTACCTTGTTGATCTTGAACAAGTTGCCCTTAGTACAGAAATGAGCACGGAAAGTATCGCAACAGATTTCAGACAGTTATATGTTGGATTTTGTCTGTTTTCTGAAGATTTAAACAGGTGCATATATTAGGCAAATGCATTGCCTTCAGGAAAAGGATTCATAGAGGTGTTAAAATAATTTGGACTTTGAGACAGGGGCGGTGCATACAACCCACCAACATGTTTTTTTGAAAATGCTGTCCTGATTTTCAACCCCTTCCACCCCTGCTTTTTCAATATGTTGCATTTTCATATGACTGTACAAATATGACTGTCCGAAATCTGTTGCGATACTTTCCGTCCTCCTTTATCAGTTTATCCTAGAACTATTGTGTTATCTGTATAAATATATAACATCCAGTGATATAAGGAACCCTTTATAAATTGGATATAGAATATAAAAATGTGAAAAAAGTCCCTGGTCAAATGTTTCATTGTTGTCCTGGTTTATAGTTAAACTAAAATTGGTCTGAAATATGTTTTGTAGGAATTGAAAGCTTTGGTGTCAAAGCGTAAGAGAACAGAACCGCCAAGGGAAAGAGCATCACATTCCCAACAAAGTGACTCCGACTCCGAAACATCAGATGATGATGAAGATGTAAGACTCATCAATATTTCCATAAACTTTTCTAGTTTTAATTATTATTAAGTGAATTATTCATGTACGAGGGGTGATCAATAAGTAATGGACGCTTTTTTACACGGATGCTTTTTATAGACCAATACCTTCGATTTTCTTACCAGTGATACATCATTCAATTATCTATCAACTCTGAAGATTTGAAAACAAAACATGCAATATATTTTTATATATCTTTATTTCCGTGAAGGAGGTATAGGTACCCCGGGACCGACATTTACGTCAAACATTCTGAAGTTATTTTAGCTTGTTTAACATGCAACGCAGGTGAATGCAGGCTGAATTAAACAAACCATTATGGTCATGAATTACCCTATTTTGTTATGCCATAGTTGATTTTGAATATTTTATCATCACTATGTGATATTCATGCCACATTCATTCTACAGGGCCCTCTACATAGGTTCCATCAAGTGCTACATGTACACAATTCCTCATCCTCTTAACTCAATATCGTGAGACAAGGCTGAATCCATTCTCTGACATGGTAGCATTGATGCAGTTGCATGGGTTGTTTTATTTCATCAATGTTAATAAACCTGCGTCCCTTCTCTATAGAAATAAGTCGTATAGGAATAAATAAGTCACATGTGGGCAGACCTGGACAATATGGTGCATTGGCCAAGGGCTCAATTTTGAGGTCCATGGATATTGTTTTCTGAACATTTTGAGATATGTGGGCAGGTGAATTGTCCATATGGAGTGGGGTGTTTCCTTCTCTCACCAACCCCTTCTTCCACAATGCTTCCTCAAATTGACCTGGAAACCCCAACCAAACAACACTCTGACATCGCATCACTTACTGTTTACGTATAACCAGTCAGCACAATATTTCAAACAACACAACACTTGTTGCATCTAAAAAAAGTTTAAATGTAACTGAAATTTGCCAAACTGGCTAAAAACTGAATATGTGACGTAAATGGCGGTCCCGGAGTACCTGTACCTCCTTCACGGAAATAAGGATAGATCAATATGTATTTTATATTTTGTCTACAAATATTCAGAATTCATAGATAATTGAATGATGTATCACTGGTAGAAAAATCAAAGGGATTGGTCCATAAAAAGTATCTGTGTAAAAAAGCGTCCATTACTTATTGATCACCCCTCGTATGTTCCATATCAAGGGGAATTTGACTGAAGCTGAGAATGAAATCTTTTTTAATTTAGTGGACTGCTGATGGCAAGAATAAGAAAAAGGCGGGTAAGGTTAAGAAGGTTGCAAAGAAGTCCACAGTGCAGGTGTTCTCAGATAGTGAGTCAGAATCAGACAAGGCAGAGGACAGCTCAGAACCTGAAGAAGGTAAGAGAATTAGTACTCTGTACAATAGTTTCATTTCAATAGAGAGCTTCTTGAGCACTTTTTGAATTAGAGAAAATCCTTTGGTGGCATTACCTTATCAGAGTAGGTCGATTAAAATCAAGCTACCAAATCGAAATTCCTGAAGAAGCAGTGCCCAATTCTCATTCTGTAAAGTTTCTATGCTTCCACTTATGATTTTACATTATACCATACAGGTGAGGTATCATCATCTGAGGGGAGCAGTGGTGAAGACATGTCTGAAGAAGAAGTGTTTAATGATGGCTATGATGAGAACCTGATGGGAGATGAGGAGGACAGAAAGAGACTGGAGCAGATGACTGAGAAGGAACGAGAACAGGAAATTTTCAACAGGCTCGAGAAGAGAGAATCGCTTAAAACAAGGTAATCTGGTGGAATCTGCTTTTATGGAGGAGTCTTGGTACCTAAATATATTGTAGTATTCTGATCTTTTAAATATTGCTCCATTCAGCATATAGAACAGTTTAGAACTTGCACTGTGAAAGTTGAAGCTTATGTTCTATCAGGATAAGAAGCGATAAGGTTTATAATTGCTAGAAATCCCCTCTAATGTGCATTGAGCCTTCCTCTGAATATGTTTCAAGGTAAATTCACTTTGCTATGGAATGTTACTTGTTCACAATATAAGTGCACATATTATATTTGAAAATGATATAAAACATCTCTGATTAAATTCAACTCATCTGTTCTCTAGGTTTGAGATTGAGAAAAAACTTCGTAAAGAAAAGAAGAAAGAAGAGAGGAAAAAGAGTCGGAAAGCTGTTGAGGCTCTGCATATGAAAACAGCGAGTCTACGTAGCAAGGAACGACGAAAAACAATGGAGAATAAAAAAGACAACAAGAAAATGTCAGCTTTAGAAAGTTTAAGAGCCAAAAGAGAGGAGAAAAATAAAAAATTAGGTACCATCTTTTTAGTTGATGTTCACAGTATTAAGTTCCGATGACATCTACAAAATGCATAGTTTTGATTGGTCCAGATATATCAATGTTCCAAAATTGTGTATGAATATATATAGTACAGTAATTACTTTAATACAAACATGGAAAATGTCTTTTACAGATGAAAATAAAGATAAAGAAGATAAAAAATTGGATGCCAATGATATTTATTCTGATGATGAAGATGAAGACGATGACGCTGTGAGATCATCAGATTCAGATAAATCGGATGATGATGCCAGTCGAGGCTCAAGCTACAAATCATCAGACTCAGGCTCAGATTCAGAGTAAGTGATCTTTACAACTCTTGAAATATCTTCTTGCGCTTATGGAATTATGCTTTTCATGGAAACCTGTCTTTAATGAATGAACGCATGAATTTTGTCTGTGTATGAACAGATCAATTATGCCATGTACTATGTTAGTATTGAGTTATTTGTATCTCACTTATTTTTTGCAACATTATTTCAGGCGAGAGTCTCGTCACAAACCTGTACAATACATATCTACCAAAGAAGAACTTGGTAAAATCAGATTGTCGCGTCACAAGCTAGAAAGATGGTGCCACATGCCTTTCTTTGCTAAAACTGTCATTGGTTGCTATGTACGAATAGGAATCGGTAACCATGATGGTAAAGCTGTATATAGAGTGAGTCATATTCCTTCCTAAGATAACTTGATAGAAGAAATTACATTCATAAGTCTGCTTATTATCGCAGCAGCCAGCTGGGAATTTTTCAATTATTTTAGGTTCAGTTCGAAATCCAATTGCATTTAGTTTTAAATTCAGAAAATCAGAATATTTTGATAAAAATTTGTGAAATGTCTCCCATCCTTATTAGGTATTATAATTGTATAAAACATAAAGTATATTTTTATATTTATTCCACCTATGTTAAACCTTGACTTTCTGCAAACATGAATTTTAACATTCATTGAGAAGATTCTAAAAAGTTAGCGAGATGTTTTGTTCAATTTTCCTCAGACAAAATCTGATCTGATTTTCCATCCACTTGTGAAAGTAACAATGGACCTACCAGTGACCATAGTGCATGTATTTTATTTTTGTATTCTATTTAAGATTGCATTATTTCTGATTTTAGTGTGCAGAGATAATCGAGGTATGTGAAACTGGAAAAGTCTATCAACTCGGTACAACAAGAACCAATAAGGGACTCAGACTCAGGTATGTTAGCTCTATTGAAAAAAATTATAATAACAATACATCATACAGTTTGTAAATTTTTAATGTATATTGTAAGATATATTTCACCTATGGTCTTTTGGAGAAGGAACACATTTTATCATCATCTATTCTAGGTACGCCAACTCAGAGAGAGTATACAGATTAGAATTTGTTTCAAATTCAGACTTCACAGAAAATGAATTTTTCAAATGGAAAGAGTCTATGATGATAGGAGGACTTACTCTGCCTACAGTTCGAGAGATAGATCAAAAATTACGAGACATAAAGAGTGCACTTACACACAAGTTTAATGACAGAGATGTCGATGCTGTAAGTATGACATTCATCAGATATGTCAGATAAGTTAAGTGAATCCATTGTTTTGAAAATCTGTTTTTAAAATAAAATGTAGATTGTCTTTCTCCTGTCTTGGGAAAAATTCTTAGTTTCTCGTACTTGTTCATTTAAAATACCTTACTATTTGTTCCAGATTGTTACTGAGAAATCTAGATTCAAGAAAAATCCAAACAACTATGCCATGAAGAAGACACATTTAATGAAAGGTAAAGAAATTAATTTATTTAATAATTTATCCCTGTACTTTCGAGTGACAATACATAATCACGGGTAACTAGAGTATCCGCGTATATTGAGTATGACCGGTTCTTAGGCTACGAATATGACCTGTTTTGGAAAGTCATGAGAGGCACAGCTGCTTAAAAATGGAAAATAAAGGTTAACTTCTATATTATCCTTTTTGAAATTGTGTTTGTTGAATATAGTTTATGCTGTATTTAATAGTAATGTAACAAAAAAATGTTAAACATGAGCTATTTTAGCAATGTAACTGTTCATAATGGAATATCAATCAGAAAGTACAGATTTCTCGCCTTAGAGCCAAATCATTAATATCACAGTAGAAAAAAACAAATCCCAAACCTTTTTATGGCTAACCTGAACAAGATCTCCAAATCTCAGTTTATATGATCCCCCGTAGAGTGAGCAAGAGAAGGATTTTTCTTTTCCCAGAGGATACGCTTGTGAAATGTCATGGAAACGAGTGTAACACGGCATCCAAGACATTTCACAACCGTATTCTCCAATAATGGGGCACCAGTGACATTCGTATTCTCAAAAATTCAAAGATGTATCATATTTGGACAGAGCAGGCTAAATTATTTAAAATATTCATGACTAATTCGTAGATCTAGCTATATGTTATACATAAGATGTGTCATCCTCTTCGGAGTTGCGTTGTGTTACACAAAAACTGATCAAAGATGCTGGAAACTAGGATTTTACGGCTTCAATCTAATATTAATACGTTTTCTGTTGATTAAGGCCCCTTGTGATATGCCTGGCATTATAAGTATACCAAGTATCATACATTGACCAAGTAGGATAAAAAGAAAACGTTCGAAAGTGTTCATAAAAAGCAAGTACTCACCTCGTCTGTTTATAGGAACAGAAATACGGTCACACTCGTAAGCTTAGAACCGGTCATACTCAATATACGCGGATACTCTAGTATCCCGTGATAATGATGATACACATGCAACTCTTGTGAACATCATCAATATGCCATTCTTGGTAGCTTGAATAAACATGAGAACTTTCTGTAGAAAAAAACTATTGAGTGGGTGGCATTGTAATTTAGTGTTCTCAAAATTTTCATAAATTTGAAGTGAAGAAGAAATAAGAAATATATTGTCGACTAAGTATGCCTATCTAGGTTTATAGCCAAGGATTTAAAACACAATTAACCATTGTTTCATTTTGTAGACAAGGAAACAGCTGACATGGTTGGTGACACAGACAAGGTCGCGGAGATAGCTCAGGCTTTAGAGGAGCTAGAAGAGAGGGCAGTTGAGTTAGATAGACGCAGGACCAGCAATATAAGCTCAGTCAGGTACAGCTAGTATAATTAGTATAATTGGGGATCTATAGACCTTTTCCAGTGAACTATTCTCTCAAAATTGCCCTTTGAATCCCTTGTGTGTACTGAGGAGTCCAAGTCACATGTTATTGAAAAACAGCTGACTGACTGGTGCAAATCAAGTAAAATTGTCTAGACTAGCCTATTGAACATTGAAATTGAAAACTTTGCATTATATTTATTGTATTTCTATGTTACAGCTATATCAACCAAAGAAACCGACAGAGAAACATCATTGAAGCAGAGAATGCTCTAAAGACTGAAGTAGCTTTGATGAGAGAGGCAGCAGCTGATCCTTTTACAAGGAGACAGTGTAGACCTAAAATTGTTACAAAGGTACATTTGTTTTGACATCAAAATTTCTGCTACAATTACTACTACAATGAAACAAATGTTTTCATTTTTGCAAGTTTTTTACATTTTATATTCAGTAGTTATACAGCTCAATTTGGTAAAAGTGAGTAGCGATCATCTCTGCACAATTTGGAACATGATTTAGGTCGATAACAGTTACAATTGTCAGCAATTTTAGTGAAAAATTGTGACATATTGACATACTTAATCTCTCAGAGTCATTCTTTTGTGAAGGGAAATCCTGTCACTTTTGGTAGTCAAGAGATTAAAAAGTATCACAGTACCTGTATATCATTCTCTAATCTGAATGCCTTTCAATGTGGACATTTATTTATTTGGTTCCATTTTTAACCTTCCATATACTTCCATGTTAAAAAAACCTCAAAATATGAACACCGTCCTGCCAATCTAAGCAACTTTGTCAAGTCCCAAGTGCCATTCAGATTAGACATGTTTTAATGTGCATTGTAATGCAAAATATTATCATCAAATCTACTAATTTATAGCATCTGATAGTGGTAGGTTGTACAACATGTATTTTTATGATTCAGTTCTTTGTTTTTGAAGAATTAATATAATATTTATAATGTTCCTTTAACGTTTCAGCTTGCAGTTGGTGTTGAACATTGCAATTTTAATATTGAGTAGATACATAAAATAAAATGAAACAATATTTTGGAGATGATTTCAACATTGAATTTTATCAATCGTTTGAGCATCTATAGTCGATAAATTTTGCTTTCCACTTTTGAACGCCATGATTTTTTCTGTTTATAAATTAATATTCATCAGTACATAAGTTCATAAGTTTAGTAATATCACATATTATCAACCATAGTCCATTGATATAGTAGGTGGAAGTGATCTGACCAATCACAACGCATCATCCATGATTAATGTGTGATAATATAAGATATGCTTTGTTTATATTGTAGACCAGAGAACAAGAAGTTGTTGATGATGAAGTCAGAAGAAAGTTGATGGAGAACCTGTTGAACGTCAAGGCAAAAAAATCTGAAGGCTCTCAAGACGTATGTTTACATTTTTTTCCTCATTAAAATATTTATTCCAGTCTTGATACTAAAATAAGAAATCCCCAAAAAATTATCTCGTTCTAAATAAATCAAAATCAGAAACTGCAGATTAAAAGGAATTCTGTTTGATCAGAAATGACAAAATATTGCTTCTGGGACGAGATCAAATGACTTTGACATATTCTTCACCCTACCTTTTTTTGTATTTTAACAATCAACATGCATACCATATTAAAGCGGATATCAGACAAATTCATAAAAATATTTTTTGATCAATATAATCATGGATTATAAAAATGGTAGTCTACTGTTCCCTGACGTCGGTGTGTAAATGTTTCTATTATTTCAAATTTTGCAGTGGATTCGATTTTAAATGCTTCTAAATGATCTTCAAATGCACACTATGATTCCTATTAGTAATGTTTTGACACCCCGCTTCATAAAAAGAACATTATCATCATTTACTCGACTGGAAAATTCACTTCTGGTTTATCTCAATAAAGATGAGCTGAAAATGATTGTATAGAACTTTCAATCCTCAGTCTAAATATGGCTGTTCAAGGTTCAATAGCTGACTTTGAATGGACCTTCATGCATAGTTTGAAAATAGATTCACCAGAGAAGATTTTAAACCATGAAATCGACTCTAAAGCTTGAAAAATTTCTGAACCATTTTATTGGCTCTGAAGCACAATGTGCCTTTAATATGAAGGAGAAAGGAATGAATGTTTTCTTGTTTATTCAAATATATTTGGAGGTTACGTATTTATGATGTAAAATATGCTGGAGTTGCTTCCAAGATCCAATAAGAATGAGGGCATATTACTCACCATAGTACGTATCTCATGTATCACATAACTTATATGACTTTATTTTCCCAATCTGCGTCTAAATCATTAAAGCGTTACTCATAATTGGAACGAATTAGAAATATTTTCTGCCTAAATTCAATTTAATGTGTGAGTGTGAAAATGTGTGTGTATGTTTGGACAATCCAAAATGTTTCAAAATGAAATATTGATTCACTAGGTATGTAATGTCTCAATATATGTTACATTTCTATGAAAATTTGGAAATATGTTTTTTAACTTGTTATATCTGTTCTTTCCAGGAAGCGACTAGTGCTCGACAAACTGAAGAAAGCAAGGTATGTGTACACTCAAACACCTAGAAATGTATAAACTATTGTATTGGTCTGGTTCAAGTGTTAGGTAATTTTTTGAATTAGCTTACCAACATTCAGCAATCAAATTAATTTAAAATAACAATATGTCACCACTTTTGGTGGTGACATAATAAGGAAAAACATGTAACTGTCAATATTCAATTATCATAAATAAAGGATGAAAAGCCGAGCAGTAGCCAAATTTTGATGAAAAAGTTTCCATGATTCGGTGTACAATAAATCTGTAAGCTATAACTAACATTAACATTATAGCAATAGAGACTAGCAATAGAGACTGTAACTGGAATAAATAATAAAACTCATCTAGTCTGAATAAATTACATTATGTACTTTTTCTTATATATTAACATGTTAATTGCTGATATGTTCCCACTATTTCACCCATGTATTTTGCACCCCTCCTCCAATCCTATAATGATGTTTCAAATGTACACACTTGTTCTTCTCAGGACAGTGCAGATGCAACTGATGGTGGGGGTAAAGTTACCACCCCTGGTGCGGACAAAAAACATGGTAGCGACCTGTTTGCAGTGCATGATTTTGATATCACCATCGACCTTGATGTTCCTGGTGTTGGTAAGTTTTTCAGTTTGTAATTTTAGGATTGTTTTGTAATTTTATGTTTGAAGTAGAAAAATACAGTTCACTCAGAATGAATATTGAGAATAATAGGGTTTTCCACTTAATAGAGAAAAAAGACTTAGTCTTCTCGGAGATTATACCTTTGGCCACCTCTTAAGGATAGAAAATTCTACTTATCCAAACCTAGTATTTCACCTTTGGTTTTTGTGCTTCCATATTTAGACCTATTTGTAATAGCAAGTAGATTCCATAGCCTTCATATAAATTGTAGATTTTTGTTTACCCCTTACTCAAGCCACTATTGTGCTCATTCCATAATACCATGCAGGCCCGTAGCCAGCTTTTGCCAAGGGGGTTCAGTTTTTATGTCACCACCAAAAGTGGGCCTGCTATGAGTATCACCCTCAGTGCACCATCCTACTAAATACCCTTTATCATGCATATAATATTGCAGGTCCAGCCATGCCTATAGCACCCACCACCTCACAGATGCCAAAACCAGTAGCACCCAAGAGGTCTCTCAACCTAGAAGCTTACAAAAAGAGAAAAGGACTCATATAGCAGAACAGAGACAGCCTAGACTCTATGGGTATTAAATCATTTGAAATATGGATGGTCAGTGGTAGTATATTGTAAAGAACACTATACACTAGAACAATGAGGGAGTAAGTAGTTCTAGTACCATAGGAAGAGGTAAACTGTAGTGAATAAGATGTCACCCCGGCCAACTGTCATTATTGCATTAAATGCTTGATAACGAATCAAGGATATAGTTGGTAGAGTATAGAAAGGTACTATGTAAGGAAAGCAGTTTTTAGCATTTTGCGTATGAGGTACTATACCGCATTTCATCTGGTGGTGAATAATAATGCTGAGCATGACATTACATGACACATCCTTCACTATCAGGCTGAGCTACGTACATGGAATATCCATAGACCAAGGATTTACATGGCACGAGTAATGCAGTTGGATGAGCAACGTAGATATGATATGTATGAAATTGCAAACATAATGTGTTGGTGTGAATACTTTGCAGCTAGCAGGTCACATTTGGGAACATATCCCAGATATACAACTCCGCATAATTAGGCAAACTGTGCAACTTCTACACAACCAATCCACATCCATGTGGAACCCACGCCGCGAGAATCCATGTGGAGTCCTTGTGAAACCTACTTATATATAAGAGGTTGTAGGACGAACTCATAACTCCCTTGTAAAAATGATTGTGATGGCCCTGTATGAACATCATGTGAAAAGAGAGAAATATGAAGTGTTGATATACGTATATGCAGAAATAATTACATTTGTTATTTGTAAATAATGTATAAATAAATCATGTACAAAAGTGTATATCCTAGCATTCTTCAATTATGAATACCAGCATGTGTTTTATTCCATAGTTAGCATGATATTCATAGGATAACATGTGAAAATAAAAACGGTATTTTTGTAATCAGTGGTAAAATATGATATTTTTGACAAATTTTCACTTAACCATAGCATACGGTTTTTTAGCCATGACATATGGCGCCGTATGCGATGGTTTATGGATTTTTGCTACTTCAGACTCAAAACGAAGCTAATTGTCAACATCGCCCTATCGTTTTGAAAATTCGAATTAAATCACTTAATTTCCGACGATTCTGATGATGACTTTAACCATGGAATAAAAAGAACATCCTATGATTTACTCGTGATATGATTTTAATCCACTCATGGATATCGATATTTGCACTCTCTCACTACGCTTGCTCGTGCAGATATCATATCCATTCATGGATAAAAATCATATCACTCATAAATCATAGGATATCCTCTATTTATAAAACGCCAGCATTCATGTGAATTTGAATATTTGATTGGGCAAGAATATGAAATTACAGATACTTTATTCAGACTTGAGCCTACTGGATACAGTGCCAGGTAAAATGCTTGAAATGAAAATGAAAACAGAACAGCAAATGAGAATTCACATGGACATCGTGAAGTCATGAACATGTATGATATCACAAAGTTAAATAAACAGTAGAATCTGGAAATATCTTGTATATAAGTCTTCTACATACATTTGCTTTGTGAGGAACAAGGTCAGCCAATATAATGATAGATGTCCACTGTCCATAGTGCTAACTAATTAAGTTTTGGGGAGTTTTGTATAGTAAGTATACACCAACTTTTAAAAGGAAACAACTTAAAAGAGTGATGTTGCCTTTTGGGACAATATTAAAATATTGATATGACGGTGATTTTCTCAGCATTAAATCAAGTGGGTGCAGCACCCACCTAAAAATCCATTTGTACCCACTTGAAAATGAGAAAAATCGTGAAAAATTGGCATATATTCATGACCAATTTTGGTCTGAAATGTGAAAATTAGAATTTTGATTCACAGAGATGTTATATTAATAAATCAATGAAAAATTAAACTGAATAATGCTGGAACCAGCTTAACCCCAGTCATTTGTATCATACACTGTAATTATCAATATTGTAATAAAAATTAATGAAAAATATAATAAAAAATACCTCAATTTCTCATTAACAACATCTGCAGTTAACTGTAATATGTTGTGGTCATCATAGACATGTGCAGTTCACTGTCCCAATAGTGTAGCTCTCATTCACATGTGCAGTTAAGTGAAGAGCACTTTACATGTAGCTCTCATTCACATGTGCAGTTAAGTGAAGAGCACTGTACATGTAGCTCTCATTCACATGTGCAGTTAAGTAAAGAGCACTGAACATGTAGCTCTCATTCACACGTGCAGTTAAGTGAACAGCACTGTACATGTAGCTCTCATTCACATGTGCAGTTAAGTGAAGAGCACTGTACATGTAGCTGTCATTCACATGTGCAGTTAAGTGAAGAGCACTGTACGTGTAGCTCTCATTAACACGTGCAGTTAAGTGAAGAGCACTGTACATGTAGCTCTCATTCGCATGTGCAGTTAAGTAAAGAGCACTGTACATGTAGCTCTCATTCGCATGTGCAGTCAACTGTCATACTGTAGTTTTCAGACACATGCGCAGTTAACTGTAACAATATACATATATTGTAGTTCTCATAAACATGTAGCAATAGTGATTGCAGCCAGTGACTATAAATAATACATGTAACATAAACATGCACAATTTATATTATTTTATAAATTCAGTATATGTAGTATACATGTAGTATTATGTAATTAATTCAATAACTTCACCTTTCAAAATTATTACATTTTTTAGTAACCTTGTTTTTAGATATTCACTTGATATTCAAAAATGTTGAATTGTAAAAAATATTTTTCACACTTCTAGCAAAAGCAACTTATGAAAATCATGATAATCTGTTAAGGCCAAAAGAAGTTTAATTTATATTTTGCATCCTTACACGACAATCAAAGAGATCAGCATTTGTTTACCAATGTATTTGATTGTCAAGACTTTGTCAAATTAGCATTCCAGAGGACACAAAACATTTGGTCCACTTCCCTTGGCCTTAATTCTATTAAAAGTATGAGTGCTTCTATAAATATGAATCTCAGTAATAAAACTCTTTTGTATTTTAAATGTTGACTCAAGTCAGATGAATTACAATTAAGAATCGAACTTGAATAGTCTTTTACAACCAAAGTTAATACATGTACAGTGTATATGGAAAATTGATTTGTTGAAACATACACATATTGTATACATAGAAGGTGACTTTTATCCCAATTCAAATAAGTGGAGTTAATGTTATGGCCACCATTTTATATCATTGTCTGTAACAAACTGTTACATTTCTGTAACAGTTTGTCAGTGGTGACATTTTGTAATACGCATAACTTCAAAATAATAATGTCTGGGTTTAAGATGCTTCAGGCTGTAGCTGTTGAGATTGTCAATAGCAAATTTCACTCTAAATTCTGTACATGAACAGAAACAAAACAAGAAATGGGCTTTTTGAATATGCAGTTTTTATAGCATCCTTTGGGGGCTATGTTTTCATCAGTTTTTATATTCAATGAGCAGTATGTAGGATGATTCTCAGTTCTCACATGTTTAAGTAAACAAAATGGCCTTTTAGAGCAAACTCATTCAGCAAAATTGACAACATATAGAATTTAGTTAAAACAGGAGATGGTGCCTATTAATACAGGTATATTAGAAATTAGACAAAGTTTTATGAATTTTGTAAATCTAAAATTATGCATCATGATGACATTGTAGGAAACATTCTACTTTTGTTGTTCTATTTAGACTATTTGTAGAAATAGATTGTAAAGATGTACATTATTTTATAGAAATATATTATTTAAAAAATAGACACATTTTTAATTGAACTTATAGCTTTTATTTAATTACAGTATGTCACCACCTTAAGTGGTGATATATTGTAATAGTCTCAAACTTTTTGTGATGGCAATTGGTGTTTGGCAGTTGGTGTTCAGCATCTGTTACAAATGGCAGGTGGTGACATTTTGTGTTAAGTGAAATTGTGGGAAAATATTTGAGCCATTGGGATAATGGAAATAAACAATGCCTTTCCTGGAATTATCATAAATGCTTTAAAACATGGCATCACATTCAGTTCATTCATTGAGGTAGTATACTCTAGTGTTACTGCTCCTTTGGGGATAAATTGTGACTCTAATGCCCAGTTACAGATGAGTTCCTTGCTTGCTTCATCGATTTGCTTTTATACCGTGATATATCATACATGTATCTGTTTTGTAACTAAGCTGAATATGAATTCCTGTAGCAGGTGTTTTACTCCACCATTTCTAGAAGATGTCATTTAATGGATATCATTTCATTACGGACAGATTCTTTTTTCTGTATTGTGAGAGGAACTGCAAATCACATACATTTGAGGTCAATTCCAATATAAATTTTTTATCAAATATTAATATTCTGATTTTAGATTGTGTGCTTACAAAGCATGTCTAAAGAGAATCTTTTATATTTCATTTTCCTAAAGGTTAAGGTTAACTAAAATCTATGAGTGTATATGTTACTAATTGTAAAGTTTTTGAGTTGCTAGTTTCAAAACACAAAATGACCTCATACATTAACATAAGCCTACTAATACTAACAACTGAACCATTTTAAGACATTCCTCCAGTTAGAAAAATTGATTCTGTCAGAGTAAAATTGGATGCTTGTGTTACAAAGGATGAAATCTTCCAAGAATTTACTGTTAATGTCTGAAGGTAATGTCAAGTGGCATTAACGAAGGAAGCAATTGTAAAGGCAGCTATTAATAATGGAATAAGTAGAGACACAATCATAAAGAAAGACATCAATGATAATCTACAACCTTTACTATACTACTTTTCAACAGGAATCTCGTATATGAGATGTAGTTGTAGTCCTTGTCTGTGTTAAAACACATTCACACATAGCTAAGAGAGGTATCTGATTCCAGCCAATCCGAACACAGTATTTTATATAACTGCAGTTCATTATATCACCAATCCAATCACCGCATCCAGGGTCACTCCTTATGTTGTTGTCAAGGTGAAAACTTGACTCTACAGATTAAAATTGATGCTTTGCCTGACCCTTGCAAAAAGCTTCATTGAAAATTTGTTCTTTTAGTAATTTCATATCTTAGTTGACATGGTAGAGAATATTTTGCAATATGTGAAAAAAATTTAAGCACAAGATTCAATGCAATGTGGAATGACCATTCCTTTCAGGTGTTGTTTCCTAAAGCATCTTAATCCTAAATCGTGAGAGATCACAGCCTTCTATCAGAACCTTTCTTCTCATTCTTAGCAAAGCAAAGATGGTCTTGCTTAATATCTGACAGGGACTTGAGGAAACGGATTGGAAATTCCCATTTACTCAATTTCCAAATGTAGGACTCTAGACATCATCCAATACTCTTATCAAAAAACTTTTTCTTTAACTAGTAAAAACTTCTCATTGAATTTAAAAAGTTTAATAGCGGTGTACTTACAAATGCAGAAAATTCTAATTGGCTAACTGATTTTGGACGACCAAATCTAACTGTGTAAGGGTAGATGAAAGAACTAAGGAAGCAATTTTTAGGTTTGCTATTTTCAAAAAGAGGACGCAGAGTTAGTCAATCATGAATCAATATTGCAAGTTTCAAGTTGCCAAGTTTTCATTTTATGGAGAGTTATTTAGAAGTTGTGTCACTTTAACAAGATGAGGGGAAAATCAAACCAAATAAAGTTTTCCGATCTATTGACATTGAGATATGGGTACTTTCACATGACACAAAAACATACTGTGTATGTGGACTTAAGACTGACAGGCGCAACAACTGACACTCGGCTTTTATCTACTTTTATCTATCTACTAGATTAAAGTACATTAATTGTAGTTTGTACATTACAAACATTGTCATTATAGACACACTCTCGAAGATTAAAATACATTATTCTTGATGTAATTTCA